TGGAGGAAACATGGAGGACTCCCAGCCCCCAATTCCCTGATCTACTTGCTATTGGATCCCACTGCCTCCGACAGGAAGGGGGGGGGGGGGGGGGGGGGGGGAGGCTGCCCACACGGTGTTTTGTGTGGACTAAAAAATGGGTCAGGCTTCCAGCTCCAACCACAGCACACACCAGCATGGCTGAGTGCTTCTGAAAGGAGGGTCCCACTCCTCTGCTCTCTTGGGAGGAAAGCTGCTCGTGGATCAGCTGCTGATGTGTGTGAACCCTGGTGTGAGACACAGTGGGAGAGGCATAGATTAATACTCTCCCCCGTGTGTCCCATCATGCAACCACTTGTCCTCTCTTTCATCACCATGCAGTTAACCCTGTGCACCCGTTTGTCGGACAGCGTCCATCTTCAGCAGGAAAACGTTTTCCAATACTATCAGAACGCGGCTGACTTATTTTCGTGGACACAGCATAAACAAATAAGCTTGTAAACACAAACTAGACCTCAATATTTGGAAAAATCTATGAACAAGCAGATTTTACTCCCCTATGTTGAAATTGGACTATGAATCATTTCTTCGTGTCAGGCATAGAAAATGTTTGTGTTGTGGAAAACCTGAAAAATGCAAATGAGTGAGCAAATTTCCTAAATCTAAGCAATGCCCTGATTACCCAAACTGACTTTTTCAATCTTCGCCACAAGGCTGAATGTATGAAAATATAATCAGCAACACAAACAAAGTTCAGAGCCTCGCTCCCCCAGAAACACCCGATACCAAGACCCAAATCCTCCTCCACACACATCTGCAAATTTTGGCTGCTGCTGCCACTGGACCGGGCTGACAGCCCCCGCCCCCTGTGCCTCGGCCTGCACTCCCGGGCTCTCATTCGCCCGTCTTTGTCCTGTGAAGTCCCACAGATCCGGTTAGAGGGGGAGACTGATGCTGGCAGGCCGTGAACGCCATCTGCTCCTCTTCACTAGGACAGAGCAGCTCAGCCACACTGAAGTGAACTCCAGGAAACTACAGACTTCTAATATTAGGTGAAAAATGCTACACGACATCGGCATGCTATTATGCATAACAGTAATGTTAGACATGTCTGAGTGGAGCAAGCCAAATCTTAGTCATTGTGAAAATAAAGTAATGGTTTTAATTCCTGGATTATCTGCCCCCCCCCCCTCCCCTCCAGCTTTTACTTTGTGCCAAAATATATTAGTTTCATCACTGTCAATGTGAATGTGTTTGGACAGCGAGGGATGTTGGGTGCATGATTGGTGAGGCTCTCTCCATTAGGCGTGCAAGACACTTTTCAGTGAGAATCATAAGCCTGCTATTAAATTGAAAACTTCTTAAACTATTCAAATTGCTCAAAAATAAGGTTGAATGGGTTAATTTGTAGCAGGATTGGGCAGAGGGCATGGTGGGAAATGTAGTACACCAATCAAAGACAGAGGCCCAATCCCCATCTCCACACTCACGGACTTTGAGGCGCGTTCCTGCAAAGTCTGTGAAGGTTTAGGGCTCTCTCTCTCGCACACATTTTGAGCCCTTTATAAACTCTTTTCGTAAAAAACAAATAACTCATCTCGAGAAACAAAAGCCTGGAAAACATCAAAATTAGGGAGTAAAAAGTATAAAATATATACCTACAATTGTACAAACCATGATATGACGTCCTCTCGCACTCAACCATTAACAGGTGATGCCAGATAAGTCCCTGAGGGTTCAGGGTTTAAGGCTTTAGGGGGGGACATTGGGATTGGGCCAGAGTCAGTTTAACTGCCAACGTTTTTTTAATAAACCCAAAGTCTTTCTAACAAAACCATAAATCTAGCTCCTTCAGGAGCCCTTTCACCAAAGCTCAAAGCTAAATCAGCCTGGACGCTAGCCAAATTATCGGTTTAACGTATAACAAAAGTTCACCCTGGAGATCTCGGTGGAACGAGGCTCTTCACTCTCAGCATGTGCCAACCCAAAACGAACTCGCCGACTGTCTTTTATTCTTCCCTGATGAGGAGATCAGCTCCAGGTGGGTGGCTTCCCACACCTGCTCCCAATAATGTGATATGGGAATTGATGGAGCCAACTGTGTAGAGGCCTCCAGTTGCCTCCCCATCAGCACCTTGCATTATAAACAATCTTCAGCAAGTTAGTTCTGTGGTTTCTTTATTTTAATAAGATTTAGTTTTCAAATGACAAATTCAGATTGCAGATGTCCTTTTGTCTGTTTTGTCATTTTGCAAATGAAAGTTAGAGTGTTTTTATTTTGCTGAACAAAGTTTTATCTTGTTGTTTTTTTAATCTATAAGCATCGGTAATTCCATTATACAAATTAAATTATACAGATCATATTGATTTCTGAATCTTTATTTTGTTTAACATGAAATAACTCATTTCTATCTCAAAATAGTTTATGTGTGGGTTTTACCCTAAACTGGGAATTATACGTCACTTTGAAGAACCAAAAATGTTGCATCTCCCACATTGTTGACCAGTGTGCAGGTCCTGCAGTAACAACTGCCTCAACAGAGGCTTCCGTGCTCAAAGGCACCTTGCCCCTTATCTTTGAGAGCGTTATTCTTTCAATTTTCCAACCCAGACCCTGGGGATTTGTATCAGTGACCTTTGGGGAACGAAGAATCACGTCTGAGGGCTGATATGAGCAATTATGTTTCCTCTCAGAGTGTGAAACCATGCAGCCCTGTTAGTGACTCTGCTAATTTAAATGTGTGAGACTGAATGAGGCTGTCTGTAACCATCTGATCAGTCCGGCCAGAGCAACACTCAGTGACCCGATGCAGGAGAGGATGCTGTAACTCCTCCACTGTGCAGCATGGACTGATCTCTCTTCCTCTGTCTGCACTGAAACATCCTACTGATGTGCCCAAATCTCAACATGAAATGACATCCACATGGCAACAGTAAAAATAGATCTAACTGTAGGCCCTGTGGTTGCAAATAGTTTCAGCCCAGCATCACTGCGAGTGAACACACACTGATCTGCTCCTCCTGTCGTCAGAATGATGCTAAGCTAAAAATACTCCGAAATCAAATAGCCTGGGTTAGGTCGATTGAAGCTGTAATCAGTCCAAGCATTTGCATTTACATAACGCCTGGCAGTTTTATTGGAGAGCTCCATGAAACCATAGAGCAGGAGCTGCAAAGATTCAGAGATATCACTTAAAACCTATATTGTTTAATTAACGCTAGATTGGATCTGACCATCAATACATTAGGAAGAAGGCATCAGCAAGCATAGATGAGCTTTGATGATTCATCGGATTCAGAGATGCAGAATATTTGATCTAAGTTTTCTGGAAACAAAACAGCAACACACAGTGTTTTGAATCCTCCTCATGATAAAATTATTTTTCATAATATAGACGAATAAAAGAAAGGGATTATAGAAGGAATAAGAAAAGCTGACCAACATATGGTTCCTTTTCCAAAGCACAGGAGTTTCTGTGCAGTTGTTTTTGTCATCTGGTATTTCAGAGACATTAATGTATATAGATACTCAGGGGGAAAGCAGGTGAATTTACTCTGTTACTGTCACCAACTCAATGTTAACTTTGCTCCCACAGCCTACCAGTCCTTTAAAGGGCAACTATTAACTCACTTGAAAATCACATTTGGCATGTTTGGATGCAATTTTTGACTGTCATGTGGTCTTTTAATCCCCGGACGTCTTGCAAATATGACCTTCTCACTTCAAGCAGTCACGGTGAAATGTCTGTGACAGACCGGGTTCAGAGTGTTGTACAACTTCATTTCTTCCGCCCGGCATGTTGGTCCTCCAAATGCAGCCGTATGGCCTTCATGCACCAGTTGTTATTGCTAATTCAGCGCCGCTAACATACACTGTAAAGGCTGTGTGTGCTGTGTCATTGGCGCACGCATCAGCAGAATAGGAACAGCGGGCTGCAGCAGACTGCTCCCAATCGATTACTGTAGGACAGTGTGCTATCAGACCTTCTGCTGTTCTGCACTTCTCACAGCATGTACCACCTTTTCTCTCTCCTCCAGAGGGGGTCAGAGGTCACGGTCAAAACTATAAGACACCAAAGACACTCAAAGACACTTAACCTGATGCTTGCGGATATAATTGCTTGAACCTGCATGGTACATCTGAAGAGTGGTGTCTTCCAGTCCTGAACTTTTCAGGACTACTTCAACATTTAAAACCATTGGATTATAGGGGGAAATTAAAGAAGATTTGTTTTCAGTTATCATGGCAGCTATGATTACAGTTTCCAGAATTATTTTAAGAAGTTTGAAATAGATTTAAAAGACTGGGTGGATTCAATGGTGGAGACAGAATTTCACTTGAATTTTTTTTTTAAGTATATTTGAAAGCGTGGTAGTTTGGAGATTCGGATTTCTTTAGAGTCTCGTTTTTGGATTGAAAAATCATCCCTGTTTATATTTCATTCATGGCTTTGAATCTGTATTGCTTTATTTCATTGTGAAATATGTGTCTATATCTGTCATATCATGATTTCTTATCCTGTTACCCTGAAATCATGTAAAGTTGGACTTGCTGCTATTCTCCTCAAGACATAGAGAAATATTTGGCTTTGAAAAACAATTTGTTTCCCACAAAAAAAGCCTACTTAGATAAAATTGTTGCTTACAATTAATTAGTACCTAAATGCCAAAAATAAAACAATTTGTGACAGCCAAATTTCCAAAATCCACTAGGCAATGGGTGGGGCAATAAACTAAAACATAGAGGAAACAATGACCCTTGCAAATAACAGCTTTTTTCTTAAAAACTGCTTTCCAAAATATCACTATGGATTGCTACCTTACCGAGTTTGCTCTAGATAATAATGATTAATCCATTTTGAAGAGTAGAACAGTTGTAGCTAATTGTCTAAACGTAAAGTCACAAAACAACTACATTTCCCAGAGGCACCTTGTAGCGAGGAGCAAGCCGATGATTGGCCGCAATCGGCGTGACGACACTGAATTTGGCCCATTTATTTGCGAGCCGGTGCCATGCTCGAGCACAGGGCTCGCGGTAAACTCTTTGAGAGAGGAGCACATCATCCAGAGCTTGTTTAAGGTGGGTGTGACGCACAACATCTTTACAACAGAAGAAGTACACGAGGATTTTTTGTTTTTCGGCCGTAAGTGCAAATTTAATTTTTAATGTCAATTTTTACTTTTTGTAAGAATATGCAGGCGTGCAAGTTTTATATTTTAATAGTTAGTTTTAGAAAGTGGACGATTTTCCCTACAGTTTTCTTTGTTGTGTGTGTGTGTGTGTGTGTGTGTCTGTTTTTGTTAGCGTAGCACGTTAGCTATCTTTACATTGTGACAGACGGTTGTTCGCCGGCTTTGTGGATTGCTAGGCGGTGTGTTAGCCTATTGTATGGCGGCAGACAGACACTAGCACAGTTGGCACCGACAAAGACTCAGACGGGCAGTGGATTTATGGGCGACACTTGTAGGTAGCAGACATGTCGTGTTGTCAATCGGTTATTTTATATAATTCGTGTGTGTGTGTGTGTGTGTGTGTGAGCAAAGCTGTTTTTTTTTTTTTTTTGTTTTTTTTTTCGACATTTTCTGTGGAAAATAACCTGCAGTCAGCTCGTCTTTGTGTGCAGCTTCTCGCCACGTTGCCGTCAAAAGCTCCTTTGTTTGCTGCTGCTTGTGAGGCTGGAATCTGTGTGTGTGTGTGTGTGTGTGTGTGTGGGTGGTTATTGTCAGCGAGGCGAAGCCAATCGGCAGCCAAGCAAAACCTAAAAAATGACAACCATGGTGTCAATGTGGGATGGCCAGGTGCAGGCATTCACCAAACCGTCAATTTGATTTCTGTAGTTGGCTATTTCTGCAGCCTTTTATGGACAATAAGGGGAGGGGTCTTTTCACTCGACCCCAATGTTTGGTGACTGTTTATGAATCATTTGACCAAATTAACATGGCAGCTAGTCATCGATATTAAGATTTAAAATGATATTGCTAACCTCACGTTTGAGCACAAAGGTCCAGCTATTCGAGCTCGCCATGCATGTTTATTCGGCTGTTGCAGTACTTGTACTTTGTGCTCTTCCTCCCCCCCCCCCCCCCCCCTTCCTCCTCCTGCGGCTCAAACACATGGTGCAAGGAACAGGTGCTCCCTGGTGGGTAATTTGCCCCCCCCCGATATGCTCATTGCTCACTAATCTTATTTCGGATGGTGCATATTGGATTTGCAGGCCTGTCTGCACCTGGCACTGCCGGCCGTACCCGCCCTCATCATCATCATTCTTTTGTTTCAACAAAATGCTACTTTGTGTCGCGTTCAACGCGGCAGGCACGCGCAGAGCCCTCTCCTCTTTGTCTCGTGAATCGGTTTGATTGCATGCGGATTCATCTGCATGTCGTTGCCACAAGTTGGATGATAAACAATGGTGTGTGTAACGTGCAGCTTTTGTGTGTGGATGGCTGGATGGGCGGTGGTTGCTTGCAGTGCTTAAAGGCGGCCACAGGGTGTTGCCACTGCGCTTTGTTTTTAACCTGGCTTGTTTAGATGGCGGTAGTTTCATAAATGGTTTAAAACATCCGCTAGATGTCGCTGTCTATCAATCCCAGCAATCTAACCTTTGTTATATTTCCCCGTCAGGTAAAATCGACCTGCAGCGCAGTCTTTAAGATGGCAACCTCCCAAGGTGAATTATATTTAAGATTTGAATGTAAGTAATTTTAATTATGGCTCATTGTGCCTCAATGCATTGTTTTACCTTTTGTGTTCAGATATTGTGATCAAGGAGCTCGACAAGAGGGCCTCTGGCCAAGCCTTTGAGGTCATCCTGGGTACTCCTGCCCCAGATGCCAAGGCTGAATTCCCCCTGTCTCCTCCCAAGAAGAAGGATGTGTCGCTGGAGGAAATTCAGAGGAAGCTGGATGCCGCAGAGGAGAGACGCAAGGTAGAAATATATTTTATTATAATAAATCTTGAGCCCAACCAACAGTGTTGATGGTGTCCTAGAAACCTAAGCAAGCATGGGCAAATGATTTATAATGTATAGTATTTTAACCATCCCTTTTCAGAACCATGAAGCTGAAGTGCTGAGGCACTTGGCTGAGAAGCGCGAGCATGAAAAGGAAGTGCTCCAGAAAGCCATGGAGGAGAACAACAACTTCAGTAAGATGGCCGAGGACAAGCTCAACCAGAAGATGGAGGCCAACAAAGAGAACCGCACGGCACTTATGGCGGCGATGAATGAGAAATTCAAGGAGAAGGTCAGTTTCATTTGATGATAAATGGATGAAGTTTCATAAGTTTTTACTAGGATGTTGGAACTTAAACCTTTTTTATATTCCTGTTTAATAGGACAAGAAGTTGGAAGAGGTGCGCAAGAACAAGGAAACCAAAGATGGCTCTGAAGACTGAAGGCTGCGGATGGGGGCTTGTACAGGGTTTTTTACGTATCCAAAGATTGATTTATTTTTTGTTCGACCAGTATTTTTGCTGTGTTCACTACCCACCTTTTTGAAATAAATCCCAAGTTATACTCTGTGAATTTATCCTGCTATAAGTGTACTTGCGCTGGTTTTACATGTGGATCATTTCCCCCACTTGAGTCCGTTCCATTTGATATGTAGCTTTGTCAGTGCAGCTTCTGCCCGCTTTGGAAATTAGCAGTGTGTACTTATCCTGTTCTTTTTGAGGAAGCATGTTTCTATGCATAGGTCTTTAATCCCTGCCTATTTCATAGTGAGTTTTGAGATAAAATGTTCATGTGAACCACACCTGTTCTTGGCACTTACTGTATATTAAAATAAAAAAGTAGCACAAGTTTTGACCAAGGCGTCGGCTGTTATACGTTTCGTGCGGCTTTGCTACCCAGATTCTGCCAGTTTGCTCCTGCTGATTCTTTGCTTTTGTAAAACTATTGGGTTGTCTTCAACGCACATGGCTTCTTGCTGTACAGGTGTGAATTAACATGCCAGACATGGAGATGGATGCCACCTTGAACATCACTTAGCGGTGGTCTACACATGGAATGCAAACGAGCAATACACTTTGGCATCTCGGTAGATACAGTGGCTAGTTGACTTGAACTGTTGTACTAAAACAAATAAAAATGTAAACTCACTGTTTGGCTTGCTGTTACTATTGTCTTGTACGACATGCTTTGTATAGTTCTAGTGAGGAAGATTGAGCAGTAACACACGCACACAATGAGCACATCCATCTTAAGGTGTCATGTTCCCTTGTGGTTTTTAACATGCAAATTATGAGGCTTCAATGAGATTGCGTGTGAGGTTTGGGCCTGTTAATGGGGTTTAACATTGCACAACCAAAGCCGAGCCCATCTTTTGGGTATTGATGCCTCCCTGAAGAGTAAAGACGCTAGTTATTGGACATGACTCTTAAAGCTACAGAACAGGCAGTTATGTAAGGGTGCATGTTCACTGCTGGAGAAAAGGTGGAAAAACTGGCTTAGTATTCATCACGTAGTCTGCCATGTAAAACAGTGGCTCATCACAGATGCAGTGAATTAATATGTGATGATGCTTTTGTGAGCTAACGTTGTGAAAGGTAATACTCCAAGTTAATGTCTATGTACTGTATGCGTTTGACATCCCTGCACAGCTAGTAGCTTCTGTGAACCTGCTTTAATGAAAACTGCGGTCTTTGTCTCCCTCTGCTGGTGGTTTAATTAAAGGTCGGTATCGCACTGACCTAGAAAACTGAATCAAATTAAATATGACGCCATATTCGTGGATCTATCGGAGCTTAAAAATGTTAAATGACTTAATGTTGGCTATCGTTACTACAGGTAATTAGATTTAAGAACGTGCAGACCTCAATTAAACAAGTCCAATTTCAATAATGTGAAGGTACAAGTATTGAGTTGCATATATGGAGTTGGATACAACAGCAATTAAAGGGAAGGTTATCCTACAATATTACATAGCATATCATACTGATGTCTCTGGGCATCATAGTACATGTATTTCAGTGAAACAAGCAAAACATGTAACTTGTATGATATATAGATTTAAGGATCAACTTACAAATGTGAAGACCATATCAACAGTCAATATTTTAAAGCCCCATAAAGAATTTGTCTCCCAGGACTAGATGATCTGTACAGAACATGGCACCTTCCGTCCCCCACCCAGACCTGAGAGCTGCTCCTCTCATTGCCCTACTGAAGGAGGGAAGAAGTATTCAGATCATTTAATTAAGTAAAAGTAGCAATACTACAGTAAAAGATAAAGTCCTGCTTTAAAAAAAACGTACAGAAGTACTAGCAGCAAATGAAATCATTAAATGTAAAAATACACTAATATTTAGGCATTATTATGTAAACAGTACTTTTGGTTAAGATGGAGCTAATACTGTTATTTATTTAATCTATAGCAATATCATGATGAACTGACGTGTTTTGTATGTGTAATCTGAAAGGTATTAAAATAATGAAATACTCAAGTACAGTACTTCAGTGCAGGGTTGAGGTGTACATACGTGAGTAAACTTAATACTTTCCACCTTTGCATAGCAGACGGGCACGATGTCTAGACATAAAGCAACATCTGAATAGTGTAGTTTTGTTTTTATTCATCGTCCGTTAGGTGAGATTGAGGTGGATTGCTTTTTATTCTTATGTCACACCTCTAAATTCCATTTTAATATTCAATATTTTCAGTGATCTGTTAAACAGACCAGTAGAGGGCAATGTTGTTCTTTACTTCTTCTCCCTGTTGCTTTCCAAGTATCGATCAAACCAGTATCGATTTCTCACCCACCTATGAGGATTGCAGCAAGAAATGTCTCACCTCACTAAACTGTCAGTAAGTTGCATAACTTACAGACTTTGTATGAACGAGTGATTATGGTTTTCTGCATATGGTAAAGCTGATGTTGTTGATTTAGCACTGAATTGTAAACAACATGCTGAATGTGGTGGAAAAAGAATTCCCATCTTTTAGTTTAGCAGAATTACAACAATGGAACAAAACTCAATTTGACATAAAAATCCTGTGTTCAAATGTCTATGTAAAATGATACAAGTATTTGCCATATACTGTATATCATTGGTTTGTTATTACAGTAGCACGTGAGCACACTTTTATTGTTGCAGCAGTTTAAAAAAGGAACAAAGTTGTTTAACAAAAACAAAAAAATATATACTTTTTTGGGACCTTTCAACCACATCGAAGTTTTTATGCAGTGGATGCAGATTGAAGTAAAGAACGATAAGTTACGTTGTTTTTTTTGGCTGTACTATTTTAAAAGTCAGGAATTGTTGTTCATGCATAGTTTTTGGTCATTTGGATATTGTAATAATCTAACAGGACTAATGGTCTTCACGCATGCTAGTGGCTCTGTGAGGTTGTACCTATAGGCCTCACGGTGCTTCCAGCTACTTGCTAACACATCGTAGTCATGCAGATATAAAGTTAATAAGTCATAAACCAACAAATTATCGGACAGATTACATTTTTGACCTGATGGTGGCACAACAAACATGAATGTCTGCACAGACTGTGCCGATCCATCCAGTAGGTGTTAAGATACGTCACAGGATAAGTGCAAACTTTGACCTGCTGGTGGCACTCGAGAAAAAGGAAAGGAATGGTCAAACTCAGTCTTGGGACCATGGATATCTGTCCCACCTTTCCTTTCTATCAGTCCAGTGGTTGCTGAGATATTTCAGTCCGGACGAAAGTGGTGAGAGACTGACCTATACCAACATTTCCATCCCTAGAACCACACCTCTAGCATGATGAAATCATATTTTATAAAACAATCCCACCCTTTAAAATCTTAATCTGCAGGGTAACTAGTATTTATAGCTGTTAAATTTAGTGTCGTGAAATGTAAAACTTAAAAAATGTGACTACTGAAGTTCAAGTACTTTAAACTGTACTTGACAGAACTTGACTACATTTGTTACTTTCCACCAATGTGACAACAGTTTGGGAGCTGCTGACTGAGCTTTCATATTAACTTTAAAATACCATTTAAATCCTGCAGAATACCTGTCAAACCTTATGAGCCCACACAAGAGCTCCTCACAGAAAGTACCTGGCTGAACACATGCTGTGTGTAATGCAGGCGGCAATCAGGGTGTCATGCAGGGTGAAGCTTGGCACCCGTTTGAAATATGCCACGACTAAAAAAAAAAAACGAGTCACTAAAGAAATATCACGGCTGTTAAAAAGTCCTTGTCGGAGAACTCATTCTCCATGGCTGAGTTGTTCTGCTGTTCTCGCACAGAGGAGAATAATTAAGAAAAAAAAATCTATTGAAACTCCACAGTCGAAGAAAGGAGCAAGGTGTGGGTTAAAAAGTGAAAACGCACAGCTAACGTCTCCACCTGTGGAGTTAAAGCATGATTAGAAACAGAGCCAAATGACCTGTAATAACCCTCTGTGATTTGGCTTTGTTACAACAGCACGAATGACCCGAGACAACCTTCTCCATGACAGCTCAATAATGCTCTGTATGCATTATATATGATGATTTTAATGTGAAGTGTCTTTGAGTTTTATGAAAAGCGCTATATAAATAAAATGTATTATTATTATTATTATTAAGAGCTCTGTTACACTCAGCATGAAAGGACTGTTCTTATTGTTAAATACACACGGTGTTAGCTCCACAAAGTTTGATGTGAAACTAGCTTTAATTGGCACAACACTGCAGGCCTAACCCTTTGAATGATTTTCCTCAGCTGAACACAGTGTTGACAGTATAGACTGGGCGCTCATTATGACTCATTGCTTGCTAATGCACAGCCTGCAGATTACTAATCACATGCTTTTACTGCAATCAATCCTTGTTTGACTTTCCTGTGGTTATCTTGACAGGAAGTACAGAGCAATTCACTCAGACGTCAGTGTAACTTGCTTTTCACGCTGCGGCTCCTTTTGTTTTTTAACTCCTACTCATCTCACACAGGCACTTTTGTGATTTTACAGTTAATTTTGCACTCCATGGCCTGCTCACTGATGAGCGGCCTTCTGTATAGTTCTGGAAAGGCTCTGCAGAATAACTCCGGATGAAGTTATCAACATCACCCTTATACACGGCCAACAGATGCCTGCTGGGACTTGCTAAAATGCTACTTGACTTGCGCTGCCAGTAGGACGTGCAAGGCTTTTTATTATTCATATGTTACGCACGCAATCATGTACAAGGAAGTACAAAGACTACTCAAGCACACACTGGGCGGGACCAACTAACAGCGCTCTTTCAGACAGGAGACCGCTGTCCCATTTAAAACGTAAAGTCAATGTTGATATTTTTGTCACCTAACTTTCGTTATTAGTTACGACACTTCCGTGGTTATTTTAACCCCAAATACCATCTTTCTTTAGACCTAACTAAGTGGTTTTGTTGCCTAAACCTAGCTAAGTATTTCACAATCTATGGAAATGAACACGTGTTGCTGGCTTTTGTAGGAAAACGCACTAAAAACGAGGAGCACCTTTTCGTAGGATATCATAGGAACCGTTGTAGAGGATACGTTGCTCAGGTTAAATGTTGTGCATTCTTTCGCGAACAGCTAAAATATATCGACATGATAATACGATTTTACAGCAATAGCAGCACCATGAGGCTGTGGTTTGAGCTAACTGTTGACGTGCTGACATACTCACGACTTAGCATGCTAGTGTGGTAACGTTGTGTGCAACTTTGTTAATCTTCATTTTTTTGTAGATATTTAATTCTCTGAGCATCACTTTGTTCCCATGTTGGGAACCACTGCTTTAAGGTTTTACTCCATTATTCCAATGTAAATTCCAAGGTATCTTAAACCCAATATCCCAGTAAATCCATAATGTACAGAATTAATAATCAGTTCTCTGCCACTCTTATCGTATTTAATTTGAATATTTATTTATTTAGTTATCTAAAGAGAGCCATGCGGAGCCTGGTGAGATCACAACAAAGAAGAAAGGTGTGCTGGACTTTATCTCCTTGAGTAAACATAATGCAGAATGAGGTGAGCCTATCCTGACATCATCTTAATGAAAATGTCTTTGGGGAAGCAACAAATAGGGCCAAGCTAAGGCTAGGACTACAGGGAGCGGAGACGGTGTGCAGATAGGCCGAGGCCGGGAGGGATAAGGCAAGCAA